CTGAAGACTTGAACATATGTGAAAGGAGGTAATTAAGTACTATTGGGAATAATGTGAAGAACAAATGAAGGCTCTTGCACGTGGCTTGAATTCTAAAATGAAGACAGTAGCCATGGGAGAATACAGAAGGTTGTAGTCATTGAGAATGAGAAAGCCATTGAGAATCAGAAAGTCCTTCTGGTAAGACCCTTTTTAGTTTCCAGGTGATAAAAACTGAACTTGAGCAGACATAGACAGTAGGGTTACTGTACTAGTTCACCTATTCAAACCATAGGAAGAGTAGGGGAGTGGTAACTTCAGCAATGACACAATCAGGGGCTGCATTACCACTGGGACTCTTGTTTCTTTATTCCATCTCTACATTTCTTTGAGTACAGTAAGTCCCAACTTGTGAATGAGTTTCATTCCACGAGGACTTTCGTATGTCAAATTTCATTTGTAAGTATGAAAAAGTGACATTGACCCAAATACACTGTGTATATTGCTTGTACTTTTCTAGAAGCCTTCTCCACATCACTAGTGCTTTGCCTCTTGCTTCTGCATGTCCTGAGTTCTGATGGAGCACTGCACTAATGTACACTATCACACTACACAATAAGTGCACAGCAGCACAACTGACTGTGACGACGTCCAGCAGACAGGTGAGCTACGTTCACAATTTGTTTGCATCTATGAATTTTTGTAATGTAAAACCTGTTCTTGGGTGTGAAAGTTCATCATTAGAATGTTCTTAAGTCAGGGATTTATTGTATTAGCTTTATTTTCTCTTGTACAGTAGATTACCCACTTGTGCATGGCAGAAGAAATTATGATTGATAGCTCTTCCATCCTAGATTATCACCAAAGAAGTTTTCTTAGTTCCAGTGTTGAAAATCCCAGGGCAGGGCTGATTGGACACTCATCATTGTCAATGAGGTTGGGCCATGTAAGAAGGCAGAAGAGGACAATGTATTTCCCACCCCAAAAGAAAAAAGATTGCTGATTCCTCTAAAACAGAAGAAGGTGACAGAATGTTATATTCACTGCATGCAGTTAGAAAATCTAAGTGCTGTTTAAGATTAAAGAAAAGAAGAACATTCGTAAAGGCAAGAGGAAATGAAATAGAGGAGAGGATAGAAAAATGAAGGAAAGATAAATTTCTACAAATTAAAAAATTAATCAGAATGGCTTACTCTCACAAATAATGGCTTACTCTTTATTCTTAGTGTTCTATTCAGTTTTGGTCTTTTCCTGATTACTCTTCTGTTCTTCTAATTTGGTGATCCCAGTGATTACCCCTCCTGGCTCACTCCCTACTACCAACTCTATGTTATCTTCTGATTCAAGTCTTCACCTAGGCTTTCCTTCCAATCATGGTTCCCCTTGGCACTGCATGTCTAAGAAATGCTGAGAGCCTTGGGCCCTTTCTGTTCCTCTTGTCTTGAGAAAGCTGGGCAAGTGAAAGTCAGGCCCCTAAGACCCAGGAAGAGATGAGATCTGGAGCAATGATAGAGAATTCAGCTTTGGTAAGGGAGGGAGGGCTGGGCACCTTTGTCTTCTAGGTAAACTAGGAAGAAGAAATAAACGGATAAAGATGTAGGGTGTGAAAGAGATGGGTGAAAGTGAAAGAAAAAAAATGAATGAGTGGTTATTTTTTGATGATAACCTCATTACCTTCAGGAAAGTAGTAGTCAAAGCCATGCATGGAAGGATGGAAGCACAGGAATGCAAGGGGGAACATGTCAGTTTCTTGGGGCAGTTGTAACAGACCACAGTAAAGAAGATTTTATTCTCTTAGTGCTGTGGAGGCCAGAAATTGGAAGTCAAACTATTTTCAAGGACTTTAACTTGTGAAGACCCAAGAGGAGAATCTTTCCTTGTTGCATCTAGTTTCTGGTGTCTGTGGGCGTTCCTTCCTGGGACAGCACTGTTCAGTCTCTGCCTTTGTCTTTAAATGGACTTCTTGAGGCATGTGTCTCAGATTTTTCTCTTTCTCACTTATCATTGGATTTAGAGCTTATCCAGATAATTTATCATCTGGATATTTAATTTAATTGTAGCCTTTCTATGTGAAATGAGATAACATTCACAGATCCCATAAATTAAAGCATGTACACATACTTTTTGGGGAACCAACATTCACCTCCAACAATGAGGAAAAGAAAAAGTTCAGCCCTGTACAGAAAGGTAGCCTTGGTGCATGCAAGAGGACAAGTATGACTGCTGAAAAGAGAAAATGGTCAAGTTGAAATGGACTTTTCATAGACCAAGACTCTGTAGTTCTCCAATAGCTTTAAAGCCTATATAGAGTATACCAAAACAGACAGTGAAGGTGTTTATAGGTAGATTTACCAGAGAGCAGAGAATAAAAGATCTCCTCTTTCCTACTTCCAGTGACTGCACATATCTATTTATTCAAGTAAAATTATATGTATTAAATTGCCTTATAAGTGACAAAACATTAAATGAGATAAGGTACAATTTTGTTTCCACCACTCTTCCTGATACAGTACTTTATTCTCTATCCCAGATACATTATTACTGTCCCACTCTACATTTATCCTTACCCTCACTCAACATTCCCACAAATAAAATTATAAATAAATAATTGTGATAAACTATGAGTAAAATGAAAATCTCCCTTTTAGTAAATTCAAACATTTTGTTTATGACTGATGCCTACAATGCCCTGCATACAAAACTGATAAATGTTCCAAACCTCCCCTGGCTCTCCAGTACCCTGGTGGCTGAGAAACTGGCTATATAACAAGGTTCTAAAAAAAGTGTTAGAAGGTTTTCATTTAGTGTAAGTCCAGAGATAGCTCCAAATGAAAGTCTCTGATTCACATTTCCAGGGCAACACTCAATAGTTCCACCTGATCTTAGAAGGCTTGCTGTGGAAGTGAAAAGGTACAGGTTACTTCACAAGCCACTAGATCTGTGATTTTTAAAGTTCATTTATGCCCTTTATCTTTTTGTATCTTTCTAAAAAGCAGCATAGACAGAGCCACCAATGACCTGTAGAGCAACATGCCTAAGTTTTATTGTGACTACTGCGATATGCACCTCACCCATGACTCTTCATCTGTGAGAAAGATACATTACATTGGTAGGAAACATAAAGAGAATGTGAAAGACTGTTACCAGAAATGGATGGAAGAGCAAGCTCAGAGCCTGGTTGACAAAACAATGGCTGCATTTCAACAAAAAAAGATACCTCCTACTCCATTCTCCACTCCCTCCCTAGCAGGGGCTATGGTCTCACCTCTACCCAGTTTCCTGGTCCTCCTCACCATGGTATGATGCCAGCACCCCATATGGGAGTCCCTCTCATGATGCCACTGATAGACACCCCTCCTTCTGAGGTGATGTCAGTGGGACCTGCTCCTGGAATGAAGCCATCTGTGGAAGGCCACATGATGATGATGCCTGGGCCTCCAATGATGTTACCACCAGTTTGGCCCATGATGGTGCCAACTTGGCCAGGAATGATTCGACCAGGCAGATAAAGTGGAGGGGCAGCCTCTTTGTATCACTTTCATATTATTTGTTCTGCTTCACCAGAGGATCATAGTGCTGTGACTCTGGGTGTTTTCTAACAGAATGAATGACAAGAAAGACTTGCTCTCTCTTCCTATGAAAGAATAGTTTTGAAGGGAGAAGTATGATAAACAAAAATGCAGAAAGTACAGTTTCATTTGTATTGTGGAATGTGAAAATAAACTTGTCAGCTCTTTTTTAGCTAAAAAAGTAAAACAAAAAGCATAGTTCTCTCCTCAAACAAAAACTTGTATCACACAGACAGAAATGAAGCTTCTATGGTTGAGGTGAAGGACTTGCCTGCTCAAAAGCTGGTCCCTTTCTCCTTGCTCTCCAGAGCACAGGGTCTGAGCACATAGGTCCCTGTGCCCTTATAGGAACATTCTAGAAGTAGCTGTTGCTCTAGAAGGGTATGGAGCAGGCTAAGCATGCAAAGCACAGGAATAGCTCTTCTGGTATAAGAAAGTTTTGGGTCTTCCTCATGGGGAGTCTGACTCAGACTCAGATTCCCTAGATTAATTTTACTACCAAAAAAGAAGATGAAAGTATTTATATTGTGAGTGATTTTAGATAGTCCAGTGATATCTATGGCTTTGAGTTAATTCTGGGAATATTCATCAAGAACTAGCTCTAGTTCAATTGCTTCTTCCAACAGGAACATATAACTTCTTTCTCCTGTGAACCATGGCTAGAACAACATTAAAAATACCTGATGTAGAAGTTTCCAGGAAAATGGTTCTGTTTTCATTAGCGCTGACATCTTTGCCATATTTGAGAATGCTCGCTGTCTCAATTAAGGCCTCCAAAGAAGGGCAAGCGGCAGGCCAGGGTCCATGTCATCTTAATGGCCTCATTGCCATCAAACTGTTTTCTAAAGAACATTCTTGCCTTCTTTGCTGCCCACGCTTTTAAGATTTTTTTTTCTTTTCCTTACCAAACTTCTTTGCTGTAAGCCAAGAATGTTTTTTTCTTTTCTTGAAGCCTGTTTACTTCTTAATCATATGACATGCCCAAGATAGCACAACCTCACAAGATCTGTTTTTACTTCACTACAATAGACAATCTTCTCTGCTTGAATGAACTTGCACACATTAAAAGTTTTAATAGAGGATTGAGGATTGCAAGTAGGTGTTAATAGAGCAGACTTCTAGACTGAACCAAATACAAAGGTTTGCAATTTGCAAAGGAAAAATAGCTCACTAGCTTAAGATTACAGATAAAGAGTCAAGAGAATTAGTTTCAAATACCATTATTTGTAAAAGGCACTCAGTGAAGTTCCTTTATATAAGTCAACAAATATTTATCCAGTACCTTCTATGTGGAAGAAATTGTGCCATTCCTCGGTTATGGGAGTGGGGAGTAATAAAGCCCAGAGTATTTAAGGCTATTTTTTAATGGAATGACCACATGCTTTGGAAGATAGTTAGTGACTTATATCACAATACAAAGAAGGATTGAAAGATAGATTTTAAAGAGTACAAAGCATATGACTAAGGAAATGGGTAGCTATTAGTGAGAATGGAAAAAGAAGACATAAAGACATTCAAGATACATTGCAGAGAATCTCTCTCTCTCTCTCTCTCTATATATATATATATATGCATATATGCATATATATATATATCTATGTATATATGAACATGTATGTGAGATGGATGCATAAATATAAATAGATAGATAATAGACTGAGAGAGATAGATAATAGACCAAAAGAAATAAAGTTATACAAATTTCTTGAACTGGTTATAGAGGTAATTACTTTCAAATTCCATTATTTGAGAAGGGTACTACATAGAATAATAGAGAAGATTAAATCAAAGACAAAGTCATGATTTAAAGGCTGTACTGTTAGAAGAATAGAGCACCACAGAAAAGTGAAGCAAGGATGGCAAAGACATAAGTTCCACTTTGGATAGGAAAAACTTGAGGTTCTGGGAAATAAATGTAAGGGCAGCCTGACAATCAGGGAATTGGATTAACGTGGTCTTGAGCACATCCTAGGACTATAGCTTGAATCATTTGCATACAGCGACTTACAAGGAAGTTAGGTGAGGTTCTAAAAGAAACAAGGGTAGAGACAGAAAGTGGGGAGGAGCAAAGGGAGAGTGGAATTTCAAAGAGAAAACACAAAAATGCGATGGCACGTCTCACCAGCACTCACAAGTTGCCAGCCAACCTGTGGACTCGTTCCTTTGGTTCAGGCACCTCTTTTGAGTCAGCGATCTGTAATTGGGGCGATGAGACTTCTCACCAGCACTGGACTGTCCCTTCAGTGGGATGAAGTCAGCTGCCAGATGGCCATATCTAGGGCCAACTAAGGCCACAATAAAACTCTATGCCTGAGTGTGTAAGGATTTAATCTCTAATGTTTCCTGGAATTTCAAATAGTACCTACCATGGAAGCAAAGTTCTCAGCACCTAATTAGTTCACAGATCAATATTAATATCGTCTTGTGTTTTTATAACAATTTAGACTTTTCAAAATGTTATTAAGGGACTCCCAGAGACAAAAGGATACATGTAGATATACTCTACAGATGCAAAAAACTCATAAGCCTTATTTTGTGCAAATCAATTAATAAAAAGTATATTATGGCTAACTGTAATCAGTGACCCGCAATACATTTGTACAGATTTAGATACTTAAAAAGACAATAAAGTCTAACAAATTGTCTGCTTTGGTATCTTGAAGGATTTTTCCAGTGCTTTTATAGATGAGTAACAGCTACTTTTAATTCTGATACCCAAGAAGTTGCTTTTCTATGTGCAGCCATTAGTACACAAATTAATCTGTAGCCACAGGATAATGTCCCTTGCTCTGTATTTGATGCTAGAGCTAGTGTTGAAAATAGGAGGAAATTCAAAATACAGCTGCTGAAACCTACAGTAACCATTAATTAGTTGAGATCATGTGAGTAGCTGGACAGAAACATGTGTCTCTCAGCTTTCAGACTAACACTCTTCCCAATGCTCCATCACTGAATAAGTAACGTGACATGAGGTAGTGGAGCTTGCAGAGTGGGTAGAAAGAAGCATTTTAACTTCTGATCTACCTTAGCATTCATTGGATTAAATGGTGTTGATTTCTACCCAATTTATAAGCTATAAACATTTGCCTTTCCCTTTCTATGCCTTGGCCTACCTCCAACATCCAAGAAACCAACAAGTTCTGTCAACTTACCTCAAAAATATGACAAATGCATGCTGTTTCCTGTCTTCACTGGCAAACATCTGTCTCCTCCACCATTACCCATGGCTTGAACCACTGAGAAAGTTTCTCAGTTGTTTTCCCTATCTCAACTTAGCTCTCTCCTACTCCATTCTTAATGCATTGGATAAAGGAATCTTTTCAAACCAATAAAATCATATCTCATATTATATCCTATGCCAAAATTTTCAGGGGCTTCTAGTTTCATTTAGGATAAAATCTAAACACTGCATCTAGGCTACAATCTAAACACTGCATTTACACGAACTTGGTGATTCCATGCAGGTCACCACCATACCACCTTGTGGACAGTCCCCAGCCCAGTGGCCTTCTGACAATTCCTAAGATTTGTGGAGCTCAGCCTGTCTTGGGACCAGCACTTAGGCTCTTCTGTCTGCCTGTATGAGTCTTCCTCATCTCCCTAGCTGTCTGGTTCCTTTTCAACCTTCAGTCTCATCCTAATGGGAAGTCATCT